GGGTGGGTGAGCTGGGGAGCCACCCTTCATCCTAGGTGAGCATGAGCCTGAGGGGAGGGACCCCACGGATGGAGCAATGCCCTCAGAGTCTAAGCACTGGGGCGCCTGGGTGGCTCAGTCGGTTAAACGTCTGCCTTTGGTTCAAGTCATGATTCCAGGGTCCTGGGATCGAGTCCTGCATCGGACACCACGCTCAGTGGGGAGTCTGCTTCTCCCTCTGCCTGCTGCTCCCCTGCGGGTGCTCTCTCTCTTTCTCTCTGACAAATAAATAAAATATTAAAATTAAATAAAATAAAAAACAAAAGTCCCTCCTGGTGACTTGGGAGCACCCCACTTTCCCATGTGGGGGGACTTCAGACCAGATACCCAGACACGGCCAGCAGGGCTGAGCTGGGGAGCACAGAGGGGTCCATATCCATCAGGGGACTTCAAGTAGGACTTCAGCACCTTTTAGTGAAGGGGGAGGCTTGCTAACATGTAGATTTAAGGGCCCTACCCCAGCCCACTGAATCAGAATCTCCAGGAAGGTGCCTGGGAATGTGCATTTTAAAAGGTTCCCCACGTGGATGCATGCGAAATAAGAGTCAGAAAAGGGCCACAACCAAGGAGGAACCTTTGACCACATGCATAAAGGGGTCATTGGTCTCTCTCCCACAAGCAGCATCACAGGAGCCCCGTCTCTGCAGACAGACTACCCAGGGGTCCCCAGCAGCTGCTGAAACCTCTCGAGGTCCCCTTTCCCTGAGGACAAGATGAAGACTGGAGATGTCTCTTTGGTTCTTTCAGATCGAAAATTACAAATGTCAGAGAAGGGAAGCCCATGGAGAAATATAAAAAGAAAGTTCAGAGGGAGGCACTTAACCAGTATTCTCCCTTTCTGTTTTTCTTAACTATTCTTTTTTTTTTTAATTATTATTTTTATTTTTTTATTTTTTATTTTTTTTAAAGATTTTATTTATTTGACAGAGAGAGATCACAAGTAGAGAGGCAGGCAGAGAGAGAGGGGAAAGCAGGCTCCCTGCTGAGCAGAAAGAACTCGATGCGGGGCTCGATCCCAGGACCCTGAGACCATGACCTGAGCCGAAGGCAGAGGCTTTAACCCACTGAGCCACCCAGGTGCCCCCCCTTTTTTTTTAAAGAATTTATTTATTTACTTGACAGACAGAGATCACAAGTAGGCAGAGAGGCAGGCAGAGAGAGAGGAGGAAGCAGGCTCCCTGCTGAGCAGAGAGCCCTATGCGGGGCTCGATCCCAGGACGCTGGGATCATGACCTGAGCTAAAGGCAGAGGCTTTAACCCACTGAGCCACCCAGGCGCCCCTTAACTATTCTTTTTCAATTCTGAAAATAACATGCTTATTGGGGGAAAAAAAAATCAAAGCATTCAAACTAAGGCACAGTGAAAAGTCCCCTTGTTCCCCCATTCCCCCAAACCTCTGTCCCACTCCCAAACACAGCCACATTTCCTGTGTAAGTTTCCTTCCGAAAATTTCCCATAAATATTGACAAACACATATCCATGCCTGCATCTTTATTCTAAGCCCAGCCTGGAACAGATTCCACGGTTCTCCGTTTCGTTAGTTAACACACACACACCCCATCTCCGCATTAACACACACCCCACACCTCACACACAGCACACACACGTCCCTCGCTTTTACAGCAGTTCACGTGTTCCACTGAAAAACGCACTGTAATTTCTGTGAGTCTACTCCTGTTGATGGTATTTAGAGGTTGTTTCTACCTTTTGCCTGCAAAAAAATCATCTTTGGTTATATATCTTAGTACCTATGTGTGAGGTGAGCTCTAGGATAGAAAGTAAGGAGTTGAGGGTTACATGCATCTAAAATTCTGATAGATGTTTCCGAATTGTCTTCCAAACAGGATGAACCAGTCTGAACTGCCCTCGCCACGCACAAGAGTGCCTGCCCCCCCGACCCTGATACCGTTTGTTACCAAATCTTTAAACTTTGCCAATACCGGGGCACCTGGGTGGCTCAGTGGGTTAAAGCCTCTGCCTTTGGCTTGGGTCATGATCCCAGTCATGATCCCAGAGTCCTGGGATCGAGCCCCACATAGGGCTCTCTGCTTAGTGGGGAGCCTGCTTCCCTTCCTCTCTGCCCATCTCTCTGCCCACTTGTGATCTCTGTCAAATAAATAAATAAAATCTTAAAAAAATTTTTTTAAAAACCTTGAAAACTGATGTCTTGTTTTGATGTGTCCTTTTGTAATTATCAGAAAGAGCAGATGTTACTTTCATGTTTATTGATTGATTGGCCATTGCATTTATTTTTCTGTGAACTGCTTATGTCCTCTCCAATTTATCTTACTGATTTTTTTAAAGCATCTTTCTTTGTTGTTGTTTTTTTTTTTAATTTAAATTCAGTTTAGTTAACACACAGTATATTATTAGTTTCAGGGGTAGAATTTCAATATTTATCAGTTGCATATAATACCCAGAGCTCATTACCTCACATCCCCTCCTTAATGCCCATCACCCACTTACCCCATCCTCCTACCTCCTTCCCCTCCGGCAACCCTCAGTTTGCTTCCTAGAGTTCAGCATCTCTTATGGTTTGCCTTTCTCTCTGTTTTTATCTTCTTTTTCCTTCCCTTCCCCTATATTCATCTATTTTGTTTCTGAAATTCCACATATGAGGGAAATCTTATGGTATTTGTCTTCCTCTGACTTATTTCACTTAGCAAAATACCCACTAGTTCCATCCACGTTGTTGCAAATGGCAAGATTTCATTCTTTTTGATGGCTGAGTAATAGTCCTGTGTGTGTGTGTGTGTGTGTGTGTGTGTGTGTACACACCACATCTTCCTTATCCATTCATCTGTCAATGGACATCTGGGCTCTTTCCACAGTTTGGCTGTTGTGGACATTGCTGCTATAAACATTGGGGTGCGTGGATCACTACATTTGTATCCTTTGGATAAATATTTAATAGTACAGTTGCTGGGTCATAGAGTAGCTCTATTTTTAGCTTTTATTTTTTTAAAGATTTTATTTATTTGACAGAGAGAGAGATCACAAGTAGGCAGAGAGAGAGGAGGAAACGGGCTCCCTACTGAGCAGAGAGCCTGTTGTGGGGCTTGATCCCAAGACCCTGAGATCATGAACTGAGCCGAAGGCAGAGGCTTTAACCCACTGAGCCACCCAGGTGCCCCTATTTTTAACTTTTTGAGGAACCTCCATGCTGTTTTTCCAAAGTGTCTGCAACAGCTTGCATTCCCACCAACAGTGTAAGAGGGTTCCCTTTTCTCTACATCCTTGCCAACATCTGTGTTTCCTGTCTTGATAATTTTAGCCATTCTGACTGGTGTGAGGTGGTATCTCATTGTGGTTTTGATTTGTATTTCCCTGATGCTGAGTGATGGTGATTCTTAAGAGGTTTTTCTAAACTGTCATAGGTCTCTTTTATTTTATTTATGACACTTTAGGCTTACAGAAATTTATTATTTTTCTGTAGTCAGAAGAATTTCTCACTAGAGCATCTTAAGAATACTTGCCCTTGTTTTTCACTAGTACAGTTTGGGTTTTTTCCTTTTTTCATTTTAATCTTTTTTTTTTTTCCTAGAATATATTTTGGTGTAAGGACTATAGTGGGGCCCAGCTTTATTTTTCCCCCAAGGAGGCAGAGAGTTGCCCCAAAGTCATGTAGGAATATTCTCTTCCTTCCCTACATCCCACCACCCTTCTCTAAATTCAAAATCTCAATTTAACCATGTACAAGGATGGACACAAAGAGCATGACCTCTGAGTCAAGTGCTGGTTCAAATTCCAGCTTCACTGGATCTAAGCGAAGTTACCTGACCTTCCTGTGCCTTGGTTTCCCCCTCCAAAAATGATAATAATAACAACAGCATTACCTATGATGAGGATTAAGTGAGTTATTTCAGGTACGGGGCTGTCTGTAACAGACTCACCTGAGCAAACTTTAAGACACATGTAGGCTGCAGGTAAAAGGATGGGAAAAGATACTGTATGCAAATGAGAACCAGAAGAGGAAAAAAAATTATCTATAAAGAACTTCTCAAACTCAACACACAAGAAACAGATAATCATGTCAAAAAATGGGCAGAAGACATGAACAGACACTTCTCCAATGAAGACATACCAATGGCTAAGAGACACATGAAAAATGTTCATCATCATTAGCCATCAGGGAGATTCAAATCAAAACCACATTGAGATACCACCTTACACCAGTTAGAATGGCAAAAATTAGCAAGACAGGAAACAACATGTATTGGAGAGGATGTGGAGAAAGGGGAACCCTCTTACACTGTTGGTGGGAATGCAAGTTGGTGCAGCCAATTTGGAGAACAGTATGGAGATTCCTTAAGAAATTAAAAATAGAGCTTCCCTATGACCCTGCAATTGCACTACTGGGTATTTACCCCAAAGATACAGATGCAGTGAAAAGAAGGGCCATCTGTACCCCAATGTTCATAGCAGCAATGGCCACGGTCATTTCCACGGCCAAACTGTGGAAAGAACCAAGATGCCCTTCAACGGACGAATGGAGAAGGAAGATGTGGTCCATATACACTATGAAGTATTATGCCTCCATCAGAAAGGATGAATACCCAACTTTTGTAGCAACATGGACGGGACCGGAAGAGATTATGCTGAGTGAAATAAGTCAAGCAGAGAGAGTCAATTATCATATGGTTTCACTTATTTGTGGAGCATAAGAAATAACACAGAGAACATGGGGAGATGGAGAGAAGGGAGTTGAGGGAAATTGGAGGGGGAGATGAACTATGAGAGACTATGGACTCTGAAAAACAATCTGAGGTTTTGAAGGGGCGGGGGGGTGTGGGAGGTTTGTGGGACCTTGGTGGTGGGTATTATGGAGGGAGCACTGGGTGTGGTGCATAAACAATGAATTCTGTTACACTGAAAAGAAATTAAAAAAAAAGGGGGGGGGATGGGAGAAGATACTGTATGCAAATGAGAACCAGAAGAGGGGAAAAAAAAAAAAAAAAAAGAACCAGGGGTGGCCACACTGTCCCCAGACAAAGTAGATCCAAAGTCCAAAACTGCTGCAAGGCACAAAGAAGGCTATTCTAGAATGATTAAAAAGGTCAATTCTCCAGGAAGAGATGAGAATTATAAATACATGTGCACCTAACAGCAGAGCACGCAATTATATGACACAGACAGAACTGAAGGGAGAAAGAGTAACTCAACAGAGGAAGGGGTTTAATAAACCACTTGCAATAATGGGTAGACCCCCAGAGAGAAGATCAATAAGGACCCAGAGAACTTGAGTATCTACAACACCATAGACCTACTGGTCCCGATACAGGGATGTGGGACACCCCTTGCAAGGGCAGCAGCACACACACTCCTCTCGAGCACACTAGAAGTGCTCTGCAGGCTGGGTCCCAGGCTCGGCTACAGGTGGGGGGCGTCCCACAGCTCCTGGCATGCAGAGACCACTGCATGGCAGCGATGACTGCCTCTCAGATGTGCTTGGGTCTCTGTCTACATAAAGGCTTCTGTTCCCTTGATCCGTCAGCCAGTTTCAGCATTTGACAAATCTTTATTACCATTGCTGGGCCCCCTTCTAAGTGCTGGGGAACAGAAGTGAACGGCAGCAGCCAGACTGGTTCTTGCCACCTCCCATTAGACTGACTCCTAGTCAGGTTTAACGCGTTTACTGATACTGCAAATGTTCCCTTACGTTTTATTTTCTAAGAATCTAAAGTTTCTATGTCATAAATACCATTTTAATACTTATTAGCAGTCATCTTACTCTATTCCTTTATTATTTCTCATAGTTTTTCAGGAGATGACCTTGTTCTTTTTTTCTCCAGATAATGAATCTTATCGTCTACAACTTGACAAGTTGGCCTCCTTTTATAACTTCTATTTTCAAAATTTGTATTGGAGTGTACTTCTAGAGGAATGTTAAAGAATGTTTAAGGTAAGAGTGGTCATTTTCCCCTTGTAAGTGTGTATATCTATACACACTCATACACACACATGCATAATATTATGTTAAGCAATGTCCATCTATTCCTATTAAATAAGAGTTAAAATTGAGACCTTGAGTAGTCAAAGCAATCTTGAAAAAGAAAAGCAAAGCTGGAGGTATCAGATTTCAAGTTATATTATAAAGTGGTAGTGATCAAAACAGTATGGTATTGGCATAAAAACAGATACATAGTTCGATGTAATAGAACAGAAAACCCAGAAACAAACCCTAAATTATAAGGCCAATTAATCTTCGACGGAGGAGGAATGACTACACAATGGGAGACAGTCTCTCTTCAACCAATGGTGTTGGGAAAACTGGACAACAACATGCAAAATAATGAAACTGCACCACTTTCTTACGCTATACAAAAAAATAAATTCAAAATGGATTAAAGACATAAATGTGAGACCTGAAGCCATAAAAACCCTAAAAAAGAGCACAGGCAATAATTTCTTATTGCAACATTCAATAGCAACATTCTTCTAGACATGTCTCCTGAGGCAAGGGAAATGAAAGCAAAAATTAACTATTGGGACCACATCAAAAAATAAAAAGTTTTTGCATAGTGAAGGAAATAAAACAAAAAGGCAACCCACTGAATAGAGAAGATATTTTCAAATGACATATCCAATAAAACATAAGTATCCAAAATGTACAAAGAACTTATAAAACTCAACGTCCAAAAACCAAATAATCCAATTTAAAAATGGGTAGAAGTCATGAATAAACATTTTTTCAAAGAAGACAAATCCAGATGGCCAACAGACACATGAAAAGATGCTCAATATCATTCATCATCAGGCAAATGCAAATCAAAACCACAATGAGCTACCACCTCCCACCTGTCAGAATGGCTAAAATCAACAATACAATGTTGGTGAGGATGTGGAGAAAAAGAAACGCTTATGCACAGTTGGTGGGAATGCAAACTGGTACAGCCTTTGTGGGAAACAGTACACAGGGTCTTCAAAAAATTAACAATAGAACTACCCTAAACCCAGTAATTGCACTTAATGGGTATTTACCCACAGAACCAAAAACACTAATTCAAAGGGATACACCCATCCCTTTGTTTATAGAAGCATTATTTGCAATAATCAAAGGATACAAGCAGCCCAAGTTTCATCCATAGATGAATGGATACAGAAGATGTGGTATATAGAGACAATGGAATATTATTCAGCCATAAAAAAGCATGAAATCTTGCCATTTGCAATGACATGGATAGAGCTAGCAAGTGCTATGCTATGCAAAATAAGTCAGAAAAAGACAAATATGATCTCACCCATAGGTGGAATTTAAGAAACAAAACAGATGATCAAAGGAAAGAGAGAGAGAGAAAGAAAAACCAAGAAATAAACTCTTAACTATAGAGAACAAACTGATGGTTAGCAGATGGGAGGCGGGTGGGGGGAATGGGTAAAATAGGGTATGGGGATTAAAAAGTATACTTACCAAGATGCAAGAAAATAAAATAAAGTGACAAAAACATTTAAAAAACAGAGATACAATCAGGGACATATGTTGAACTTTACCAAATGTCTTTAAGCCATTTTTAGCATTTATGGAGCTGTTTACGTGAGTTTTCACCTCTTTTGACCTATTACTTGGTTCAAGATAGTCCCACTCACTTGTGGTGCATTTGTTTTTTAAACATAACACTGTGCAATTCTATTTGTTGTTATTAATTTGTGAATTTTGCACCAGTCTTCAGAAATTGGATTTTTTTCAGTCATTTTTCTTTTTTGGTGTTGTCAGTGTTATGCTGGCTTCACAGAATAATTTGGAATCTTTCCTTCTCTATGATCTGGTATGGTTGGTGCAGCTTCAAAAACAATTAGGGGCGCCTGGGTGGCTCAGTCAGTTAAGCATCTGACTCTCGATTTTGGCTCTGGTCATGGGATTGAGCCCCACTTCGGGCCCTATGCTGGGCATGGAATCTGCCTGGGATTCTCTACCTCTCTTATAATAAATTATAACTCTCTCATAATAAATTAATATTTTTTAAAAACATAAAAATATCCTTTCCTTGGAGGTTTATAAAAATTCAAAGTTGGTTAAACCTCTGGTTTTTGGGGGGGAGAGTTTTATGAAAACTCAGTTTCTCTTGTGATTATTGATCCATTCATGCTTTCTAGTTAGTTCTTCTGGGGTCAAACTGGTGATTTATATCTTCTCAGAAAACTATCAGTTTCAGTTGATTTTCAGCTGAATTTACATGTGGTCAAGCACAGTATCCTCCAAGAATCTTTTTTCTTTTCTCTGTATTAGCGGCTATTTCCCCATTTTAATGTTCCATTTTACATATTTGGTTCATTCCTACCCCAACCCCCATTAGATTACTTAGACCTTAAAAAAGTCATCCAAGGACACATGCTGTTCGAACAGTAGCCTACTGACCATGTGCATGGCCCAGAGACTGAGTAGCTGGAACCAGGGACAAGGATGAGGAAGGTAGTGGGGGAGGGGCATTCAGAAAACATTTAAAAAGTGCGGAGAGCCCCTGCACATGTGCCCTGGCCTTGAACATCCCACATCTCCTTTTCACAAGTCCCCCTCACCCAGTAACACGTAACAACTCCCACCCTGTCTTCAACCCCCAGCTGCCGCCACCTCCTCTTGGAAACTTTCCTGGCTTCCCCGGGAAAAGTCAATGCCTTTCCTCTGACATTCAAGTTTACTTTTTTTTTTAATTTAAAAAAAAAGTTTTTTAAAGATTTTATTTGTATGTAATCTCTACACCCAACGTGGGGCTTGAACTCACAACCTCAAGATCAAGAGTCTCAGGCTTCCATTGACTGAACCAGCCAGGTGCCCCTAATTTTGAAAACTTTAAAAAAAAATTTTTTATTTAGGGGCGCCTGGGTGGCTCAGTGGGTTAAAGCCTCTGCCTTCAGCTCAGGTCAGGATCCCAGGGTCCTGGGATCGAGCCCCGCATCAGGCTCTCTGCTCAGTGGGAAGCCTGCTTCTTCCTCTCTCTCTCTCTCTCTGCCTGCCTCTCTGCCTACTTGTGATCTCTTTCTGTTAAATAAATAAAATCTTTAAAAAATTTTTTTAAATTTATTTGAGAGAGAAAGCACACAAGCGAGGGGAGGGGCAGAGGGAAAGTGAGAGAAGCAGACTCCCCGCTGAGTGGGGAGCCAGATATGGGGCTCAGTCCCAGGACTTGGGGATCATGAGCTGAGCTGAAGGCAGATGCTTAACCAACTGAGCCACCCAGGCATTCCATAATTTTGAAAACCTTTAAACACAAAAAATTAAAAGAATAAAACCAATGGAATTAACTCGTGTTAACATTCTATCATTTTTACCTCAGATCTTTTTTGTTAAAAGCAGCATTACTCGGAAATTAAAAGTCCTTCCTTCCATCCACCGGCACCAGCTCCTTCTTCCCCTTGCCCAAGACCACAAGTGCGAGTCTAGTAGCTACTGCAACACGTCTGTATCCATAAATCACAAACAGTTTTGTCTGTGATTGCCACGGAAATGAAATGTTCCTGAACGGTATTATTCGGCAATTTCCCATTTCTTGAAATACTGTTTGAGATTTATTTATGCTAATACCAATCGCGCGCGTGTTTATTGAGGTAGAAGTTACAAAACATAAAATCTTCCAATTCCGTGTGTTTTAACTGCTGCGTAAGATCACATTTGTAGTTGTCTGCTCCATCACTGTAGACACTGAAGACACTGACGTGGAGACCTCTTTTGTGCTTCCAGCCTTACTGCCCTAGATATCCTTGGAGCTGTCTCCTCAAGCACATGTGTGAGTTTCTCGAGGTAATTATACACCTAGATGCGAAACTGTTGGTCATAAAGTATGTACAGTTGCAGCTTTGAATGTCATTGCGGAAACCTCCCCAGTGCTTCGTCCCGCTGTTACTCCAGCATTTCTGCAGCTATCGCCATGATCAGTTGACTTGCCCACCTGCCCCCTCCCCCACAAGTTACCAGAGGGCATGTGTGTGACTGGCACTCAATGAACACTTGACAAATGTCAGGATGAGCTCACTGTCTAGCACAAGAGACAGATGCTAATGGGACAAGTGCATTAAAGCTATGAGACCTCTCCTGGCGGGGATCCAGGGAAGGCTTCATGGAGGAGGTGGCATGGGAACCGGAGTTTGAAAGGCAGGGAGGGTCTGACTGAATGAGGCTGGGGATGACGGAATGACTGGGCTGGGAGGAGGGGGTGGGTCAAACGGCCTGGGCACCTTGGATGTGACTGAGTGGTGGTT